CTACATCTGGAAGCCGTTCTAACAAGGTTTTCAAGGAAGATATGATAGACAAGTTCATGGAATGCATGATCTATACCTTAGCTGCAAAGGAAAGGTTTTATAAAGCAATAGCTGATAGATAGAGGGCTCCTGATACTGCTATTTCATCTGATTATCACTTTTCTATTTCGGAGTGCATACGATATTTTACAAATCATGGATGACATTTCTTATTCTACTGCAAGAGAAGCTATTACTGCATTCAAAGAATTCTCTATGGGATAGGCAGATTTTTGTCTCATGAAGCCCGAAGGGAGAAAGAATTGGGTGGAAGACCTTGATCAATGAAGTGCATTCAATGTTGTGTTTGTTTAGTTTGCATTCAATGATCATCTAACTTTCATGGACATTAGAATTGCTTAGTTTGCTTTTGATCGTCAGTTGTATAGTTTAAACCTTGAAGTGCTATGTGTTTTTGTGTAGTTTGCATGCAATGATCAATGAACACCGAATTTATGAACTGTTTGTTTTGATCTATTAATTGTTTAGTTTTTTAATACAAGCTATTTCCAGTAGTCTTATATTTGTATTTGATTTTTCATCTTAATTTTTAAATTTGTTTGTTTGTTTATTTATTTATTTATTTATTATTATTATTTTTATAATTATAATGAAGTTGTTTTGAGTGAGGAAAATATATAACTAAAAGCTTACAAGTTGAGTCCAAAAATGAGGAAGAAATGTGATGAGGGAATTAATTATTTGAATGAGGAAAATAATGCAAGGTATTAACTTAAACATCCATTTATGCCAATTCACAAGATACCATATCACATTCTGTGTTTTGTATGATTGCACAAATCTAAACTTCAAAAACCAAGCATAGTTTTTCTTTTCTTTTCTTTAAAAAATAAAAATAAAAAAGGACATAACTCAGTTTAACACAAACAAATCAAAATGAATTTTCTCTTTAAAATTCATTTTTTCTTTACATCAGCACCACCGACCTCTTGGTTTCATCTGTATTGACATTTTAGCATTCTAAGCTCATCAAATCAAACATACAACAACTATCACCCAACATTCTTGTGCCAATAGCATCATTATCCAATTCAAACCTGCATAATAACGATGCCTGAATCATATTTAGTATGACAATGATTTCGTTGACATTGTTTATTGACAACAAGAGCAGTGCTAAGACACTCTCTCTAACACTTTCTTTTGAGCACTCTTCATGTAATCGAGTTGCATAAAGTATAAATTTAATATGATCGATGATTAGTTATTAAAATTAAAATTTAATATTTTTAAAAATTAAAAGTATAACAATTTACATTAAATTTAGATTACATGTGCCCCAATCACATAACAAGTGTTCAAAAGAGTGTTATAGAAAGTGCCTTTAGCATTCCTCTTGATGACAAATGCTTACATCTAAAAATACTAACAATTACATGCTTATATACATAATGATAATAAACCAAAGGAAGTGGTGGCTTTACCTTAATTTCTGAAAGAATCAGCAATGTAGTCCATTTGGGAGCTATTATTCAATGGTGGAGAATCTCTGTAGATGTTGGGGTTCCTGATTAGTAGCATGGAAGAATGGATCATAACCATCACCCTTCTTCAGACCATCATCAGCGTCACAGTAATCCATAATCTGTAAAATACGTGCAGGGACTAAGCCATCCTTGTCATGCTTGCCACCCATTTCT